TTTCAAAAATAATAATTATTTTTCAAAAAAATTTACGTTTATCTAGGGGTGCATAAATATTAAGTCTTTTAGTTTAACGTATCAAAAATTACTTTCGATACAGTTAAATCTGAATTCGCTTAGATTTAGATAGATTAGATTAGATTAGCTTAGATTTTCTTTAATAATATTAATCAGAATAATCAAATTCAAACTTAAGGGTCGTTTCAGAATGAGACAGAACTCAACGAAGACGCGACGCGTCCCAATGCTAATCAGATGGGGACGCGTCGCGTCTGCGTCGAGTACATTCTGAAACCAACCTAACACCCCACCTTTCTTTCTATTAAAATATTTCCTAATCAAGCAAACTATAAAAGTGCATAAATCACACATCATTTTTGTTCAGTACGGTTTCCGCGAGCATAGAGATTCCAACTCTGTTGGAATCGCCCGGATTAAAAAGCCTAAGCGTTCCCACCCGGCACCGCGGACCCGAATTTGAGTGTGTGATAACACAAACAAAATCGGTCGGGTGTAAAGTAAAACACAAACTTACTCCGTAGTCCACGGAGGCCGTCTTAAAAATTAAAGCAGTGAAGAATTTTAAATAAATCGTATTTCTTTTAATGTTTGATCTCTTATTTCTTTTCATACTATTTTCTCCCCTCCTCTTTAATTTCTGAGTAGAGTAATTGTTACGTTCAAATTCGTCACCTATTTATTTTTTAGAAACAACGAATTTTATTTTAATTATATAAAATCCATTCAATCATTTTTGTAACCTAAAAACGCAATCAACATTCTTACACAAAATACATATTTATTGGCAATATTAATAAATTCCAACATTAAGCAAATTCTTAACAACCTACTTTTAATCGTTTATTTAGCACAACGAATCAAGTAAAGCACAATTTTTTTTATTCTAATATTGCAAGGTAAGGTTTCCTTTAGTTAATTTCAATTATTTCACAATAACGAAGTGGTTCAATTTTAATTTTCGCAAGTTCCAAATTCTGCAAGTCGTCGTAATTTCGCTTAGTAATAACTAAGTGCAATAAACTGTATTGAGGATTTTCCCCACCTAATTGTCACTCAATAAAAAGAATTGACAAGGGGAAATCTGAGAGTTTAATTCAGGCAAAGTGACCTGAACGATTATATATTTTAGTCATATAGACTTGAGAATTTTGTCATTTTGTGAATCAAAGGGTGTAGTCCCTATTTATTGTGCAAAAGAAAATAAATATTGAATAGAGATTATATTCATTTTAACGAATACCAAGATTGAAAACAAACGAAAATTGAAGGACAATTGCTGCGATTTTAAAATAAAGAAAAGGAAAAACAAACGATTAAAAGTGAGTAGAGAATTTCACATTGCACCTACACATACAAAACAATTTCAAAGCATACATGAATTTTCATATGTTGATTTTATAAGATTTTTCTGAAAACGAATATCTATTTTTCTCTTCCTTGAAATTTATATTTTTTAATAGAACATATATATTGTAATTTGAAAAATTAAAAGTCAATAAAATATATGTATATTTTATAATTAAATAAATATTAACTTAATACCAATTTCTATTTTTATTAATTGTAACCATACAATTGAAATAAATAATTGTAAGAGAGGAAAAGTCCCCTACCTTTCAAATATTTTTGCTGAAGAGCATTGTAATAATTAATTTAATTATTCTAATTATTTAAATATTTTGGGTTCGTGACACAGTTTGAAATTTTGAGTGAATTAAAAGATAGCGCTAGAAACTGTGCAAGAGAGAAATTTTTTCCAAGATAATATGAGTTATTAGATCTACTAAAGAATATATTTGCTTCTGGACAACCATACGAAACTTATTTTTTGAAAATTTGTTGATTTAAAAATGCAAATATATGAATATATTAACGAACTTTTCGATAGGGTACAATCATATTTGAGGAGGGTTAGAGCAGCTTTGTGTGGGGATTAAGCTACTGCAGTAGCAGCAACATCAATACCCATAGTCCAAAGTACAGCATTGAAATCATTTATCAATTCGTTGCCTGATGACATTTCACAAGCAGTTAATTTTCAAGACCCAGTAAGTCCTCCTTTCGAGAAAACAATGTAGAATCAAACCCTAGAATGTTTAGACAAAATTGGAGAAATCACTCTGAAGATAAAACCAGAGATCAATCAGTGAATTACAACCGTTCTAGAAGAAGTAACTATTACAATCAGAGAGATCAACAAAATAGATATAGACCGTATAGAGAACATGACCGAAATTATAACATAGAACAAAATAGGAGACAAGAAGAGGGGGTATTCGGACAAAAGATTATATAACCCTAATGACTCATCTAGTAGTGATCAGATATCTTAAAGTTCTACGTCACCAGCTAGACAAAATAGATCCAACATTTTAAACTGGGAAACAGTTCGTCGGAATGGCGCGACGACGACACACCAATTTAAACATCGTAAACAATTTTCTTTACAGGTGTTACTATGACAAAAGTATATTAATCAACGTAAGGGTAATTGCAAATTCATGGCTACTCTCACTACAGAAAGGGACATAACTATTTCGGTTTCTCCACAAGAACCTTTCGAGTAGGTAGACTTAAATGAGATAGAAAATTTGAGAACTCAAAAAAATCAAAAAAAAATACACAAATTGTAAGTATAAGATGAAATTAGAGCATCTTAACACAGAAGAGTTAGATTATGTTAAAAAATGGGTAAGGTTAGATCAAGATAGGTTTTTATATCCGGGAGATAAATTATCAGTAACACTATTAGTAACACCATCAGTAACACCATATCCCTCTCTCGGATGATAAACCAATCAGATGTAAACAATACAGGCAATCTGCTGAATGTGAACAAGAAGGGGTAAAACTAGTAAACAAAATGTATGCCGATGATTTGTTAGTGAAATCGAAATCAAGATATAATTCACCAGTATTGATATTTCCAAAGAAAGCTGATGCCCAAGGTAATAAAAAATGGCGTCTAGTGATAGATTTCAGGTTCTTTTCGATAAAATGGAGGGGTATAGTTATCCGATGCCATTAATTAGCACTATACTCGAGCGTTTAGGGGGCGCTAAATACTTCTCAGTTTTCGATTTAGCTATAGGATATCACCAAACAGGAACTGCAGAAGAAGCTTCTAGACCAGCATCAAACTGCGTTTTCATATAGTGTGCTCTCATGTTTACAAGGAGCGGAGTTATTTGTTTATTTAGATTATTCAACACTTTAGACGCGAACATGGTAAAACTATTTGTCAACTTGCAGATAAATTTCCTTTTTCAAAATTAGCTTTGCAACCGGAAAAATGAGAATTTTTATGTAAGGAAGTCGCTAATATCTAGGACACATTGTAAAAGAAAATAGGATCAGAGCAGACCCAACGAAATTTGTAGCTATAAATGATTTTCCCATTCCCAAAAATCGAAACATTATAAAGCTACGACATTAGAATCACTCACAATCAACAACTCCATTGGAGTCCTATAATCACTACTGGAAGCAGGATATACTCCTTAACAGAAGAAGAAACAGACTACATATAGTGCCCCAATCAACCAACTAAACTTTTAAAATTAACAGGTATAGGAGTAATACAAATTGCCTCAGGGTGTAAACTAACCACTGATCCAACTGAACTACCCGTCCTCCAAATAAAAGTAAACAAACAGGAATACCTTTATGAACCTAAATTAACACTCTGTTTAGAAGATCTAGTACCTATATTAAAAGAACACCCTAAAATACAAGAAATCTCCGTGTCAGAAAAAATAAGTCTCCCGTGGAAAAAAATGGAGGGAGACATTAAATTAGAAAAATTAGAAAACAAATTAAACATCCAAAGCGAACATCATTTAGTGCAAAATAGACAAAACCATTACAATCATTTGATTCTAAGGACAACTAGCATTATCATTATAATAACAGTGGGATACATAACCTATAGCTGCATACAAAAATACTAAAACTCTAATTCCAAACAACAAGAAATTAGAAAATAACAAAGAAAAAATAATATACGCTAGCCCTAATAAGACTATAACAAGTAAAGGACAAAATTTATCAATAGAAGACGAAGTTAACAAACCATCGCAAACTAAAGTACAAATAGAACTATCACCTACACCAAGATACAGAAAACAGGCTTACATCCCTTTTCAAACTATAAAAACCATAAGTAATTTCAAAAAAATTAACATTGAAAAAAATATTTTTTCCCTAAGTTTCTGAAATTAATTAAAATCCTAATTATATCGTTTCATATTAACTTCAAGGTGTGATCCATACCTTCTATCGTTTTAACTAATAAGTCCGAATTTGTTCCTCCCGCAGTAAAGCTGCGTAGAATTAAGTGTTCCTGCCGTAAATCAGTAGTGTAAATTTGTTTTTCTCGCAGAGCGGATGATTATATATTTGTCTTTACATATTTTTATCTAAAAGATTTGAAATACAAAAATCTCTTGCAGCTAAACAACGATAAAATTTCCGATTATTGTCAATTCTAATAAAATATAAAAGCAAACTTTATTACTTTAAAAATCTTACTTAAATAAAAAAAGAGGAAACGAATTCTTTGAAATAAAAAAAAAGAACTAAAAGTTTGCCTCTGTTTATGAAATCATTTATTTTCAACAGCAAAACCAGCAACTCAAATTTTGTAAAACAAATGAAGGAAGGATTTATAATGTAAACTTTACAAAACCATATGATCAACATAAAGCTGCCAAGGTACGTGTCTGCCAAAAAAGGGGGTATTTGCTACGTATTAAATACGTAACCATTTTTAATTTTTTTCATAAATTAAAAATATCTTTACATTATATATATTCTAAAAAATTGGGGAATTATGTAATTAGATTTAAGTACACTCAATTATTTAAATTAAATACGCCAGAAAAATTCAATCAATTTATCAACAATGTGACAAATTTATTATTTTAACTTTATTTAAATAGCAATTTTTATTTGATTACTCTTTGTTCCAACAATATTTAAAAGAAAATATACATTATTTTATAAAATTGAAAATTGCTAACAAAGTATATGGACAACACCCATATTTTGAAATAAAATTTAATAATTTCGCAAGAGTTATTTTCCAGTGAAAAGTCTCATGTCAGGCCACCTTAGGAATTTGCAAGCTTGCGAAAAGCTTGCCTGGCAACAAAGAAGTTTAATGAACTTAATTAATATTAAATTAGTTCGTGACATACGAACTAATGTAAATTATTTTAAATTTCATGGGATCGTTTTCAAAACCGATGAAAAGTTGTCTTTCTTACATATCTTTAATATTGACTCAATGTTACTATGAATAAAGAACGAGAGTTTCAGCGTTTGAATGGTTTTAAATAATTAGAAAGCAATTAATACAATGTAAATTATTCTTATTTTCGATTTAACGTCAGTCTGAATTCCACAAACGATTGTCTTTACGATGAATCGTAGGGTTGGAAGAATTACCGTAAATATTTTGCTCTTATGTATTTTAAAGGTTGTTTTAATCGGGGTAGTAATTTATATTTTAAATTGATTTGATGAATAATTTTTATTAACATGTTAATAATGCCTATAACATAAGTTTTTACTATTTTCTTAATTTATAAACTTTTGTACATTTATACAAAACTTTTTAAACATAAAATTCAATTGATTAATATTTTTCAATACATTTGTACTAAAGAGATTTATCTATATTTATAAACTACTAATTTTTTCTATTAAGATAGATTATTATTATTAAAGTACTGCACATTCTAATGTTTATATTAGACTTTCATTTTCCAATATGATTGCGTCTATCAGAATAATTGTATTGGAAGTACTCATTAGTGTTACTATTCTGGACACAACGTCCATCTATGCAATGCTAAAAAAGAAAATTATTAATATTAGCAATTTGGTAAATTCTAGGAAATGATTATAGTTTATTAAATTTCTGCTCCTTTATTTACAAGTTTGAAAAAGATAAATTTCACTTACATAGCCTTTGTCGCATATGGAACCGTCAGCTCCTGGCAGAGATGTAATATAATCGATTCCATCGTCCGATGCTTTTGCAACACAATACAAATGATCGCATACAGATGTATCATTCTAGTAAGGTAAATATAATTTAGTTCTTGAGTAATAAACCAAAACGTATTTTAATATTTAGTACTTTTAATTTAGCGGGAATAAAATACATTTGGAATTTTGACGTTTTCTGCAAATGAAAAAAACTAATCGAAAATTTTTTTATTACTTACAAAATGAGCTCTAAGAAATCCAGCACTTGTACATTGTTCATCTAATGACAGTTTTTTACCGGGTAATATTATTGAAGAAATATATTCACTGGACATGACTGGTGGGTTACGGAGACATTCTGCACTCTCTTTGCTGTAATATATGAAATTATTAATACAATACAACTTTTATCTGCAGGTTTTTTGTTTTATAATTCTAAGTGTTAATTAGAAGCCAGCGGACACTGTGACTTGGATACATTTGGATGTCAATGTTCGTTCGAGGAATGCTCTAAAGACGTCATTTGGACACAATAGGACGTCCTAACATTATTCTATGCGCTAGTGTTCACTGAAAATAAACTACACTTACTGGAAAAATATTCTCATTGTTTCTTTGCTACAGTATGAAAAGTGTTTCCCATCGATACGCTTTGTGCTCATAATATAGTCATCTGATTCGGTAGTTAAACAGTGTTCTGCCCCGGGGAGACCCAATTGTGATAAACCATGAGCTCCGTCATGAAAAGCTCCAAATCTGTTATTAAAAATATAATTATTAAATAATCCTAACGACTATTAGTTAGATATTTATTGTATATCCGTAAATTATTCTGACAACAATTCTTACAAGTGAGCCAATTCATGAGCTCCATGCAATATTCCTATATAACCGTTTGAGTCTTCGAATGCAGCAACTCCATTAACTATTTTTTCCGTATCATTTTTACGACAGGAACTTGCAACTTTTGCCACACCTAAAATAAGATAGACCGTTAAGGGAAGAGTAGTTAACTCAATAGGAATATAACAGACAATAATTTGAAATATGATGCATATTTAGTCGTGATAAATCATACCTAATATTCCGTCTAAACCATGTCTTTTCTCTTCGTCTGGAGAAGAAGTCAAATCGGATCTAATTTTAAAAAAAAGTTTTTACTTGTGAACAAAAATTTAGAAATTTTTTTTCAATCTTACCCCATCATGTATACAGCCAAATCATAATCTTTTCCGACTTCTAATGAACTTGCGTATAAATTGATACCAATATCATCCAAGACAATATTTCGACTTACTTTTCCTTTAAATTTACCATCTTGATAAATCTTGGAGTTATTTAAAAATGCAGCTTCTTCCTAATAAGAAAAAGTAAATTTACTATTTTATTTTAATTTTAATGCTGTGTTATGGATAATATTTAGAATAGATTAATAACAAACCTCTTCTATAATAATACCAGCAATATTTAATCTCACAGCAGGTTCTCTTAAAGCTCTAAATTTTAAGTCAACAGCATTCCAGAATGTAATAATGTAACTTAAAGCCTCTTGAAGATTACCTTTGTAATGTCTAAAAAATTGAAATAGGAATAATTAATTAAGTTAATTCAAAGTTCTAACGTGTGATAATTTGTTTTTGTACTAACGAATAGAGAGCATGTTCCATGATAACTAATATTTCTGGGTATACAGTATTGGGAGGACTTAGATTTGATGTTGCATTAAGTAATACAGGTACAATACTTGAGTAAGCAGTTTCAGGATCTAAAAACATTTTTTTCGGTTTAAATATATCTTGTAGATAGTCAGTAAGCACGGGAAGCAGACTGTCTTAAAGTCGACTTAAAGATGTATTTTGGAAATTTGAAACTTACTATCATTTTTACTTTTATCAATGACATATACATGATGATCAATTGTTGAAATAGTTTTATTGCCTTTAACTTCACGACGTCTTCGAGCACGTTCTCTTGGTGCGGCTTTCACGCCAACATTATAGTCATAAACGCCATACTGTAAAGAAGAAATTAAAATGTAATTTCACCTCATCATGATAGCAAGTAGGATGAATTTGACCGGCTTGAGAATAATTATTCAAACAGTAACCAAATATCGTACGTATCGATTAAGATACTTTTACATTGGCTGTGCAATTCTCTAAATGATTCAAACGGTTGGAAAAGTTGGTTTAATTAAAGACGTGTTTAAGGGGGGATGGTAGTAATTTCCTAGTCATGATTATATTTAGGGAACCATGACGAATAATCGAACAAGTTTTCGATTATCATAAAATTGCTTAACTAGTAGAAATATTACAACTTACATAAAAATAATATCCATTTGGTTCAGGTAGCTTAACAAACGAGGAATGAGTTGATTCATCTATGTAACTCTCAATATCCTTAAGAGCCTAAAATAATTTAAAAATTGTTTTTTCAGAACAAAATTATTATAATAGACAATTTCAAAATGATTCTCAAAAAAATATAAAATATCGATTTTATATTTTTGATTACAAAAATACTTACATTTTCTTCCCGTCTAAATTGAATATTATTATTTACATTTTTGACCATCCAAACAGGTGTATCTTTGTGTACTAGGACTCCATTAGAAGGTTCTAAATTCACCTTTATGTGATCATCTTTTAAATGAAATGAAAGTACTCTATAGTTAGTATCTAAATCTAATTGTGTGTCAGTAATGGGAACAGTACTGTACTCTATATCTATAAAAAAAGTTAAAAGTAAACATTGTGGAATGTAAAAAATATTACAATATACAAATACAATTTTTTCAAATCGATTCTCTTTTGTAGAAGTAATTTTATTTTTAATTAAAAATATTACCATCATGATGAGTTGATGGTTTTGGAAAAGAGCAAGAAATCAAATCCGATTTTTCAGACTGTCCATGAATCTGGAGAAATACAAAATTTTAAATGTTACTATTTATATATTTAGTAAAAATTTCACTAAAGAAGCATTATCCAACTGAAAATTTACTTATAAAAGTCCTGTTAATATTTTTCAGAATATTGTTTCAAATGATTTTTCAATAAACGGCAATAAATACCATTTTCAAAGCGTTTTTATCAAATTAGAAAAAAAATAATAGAGGTGCGACTTAACATCTTTTGCTTAATATTTTCAAATTTTCTATTATAAATAATATTACAGAAAATTAATAGTTTACCGTATATGCTTCCACAGAAAGCGTAAAAATTACGCCAATCAATATAGACAAGTTAATCATTATAATTAATTCAGAAAATTGTTTCTAATAGTAAAATAAATTTGACTGAATGTCTTTAAAATAATACAATTTTCTTTATATATACTTTTTTTTGTTATTTGCTATATTAATATAATACACGTGTCGAAATTTAAAGTTTAATTAATATTATTCAAGCCACAAGTTTTAAAAGTAAACATAAATTGTATTTATTCGAAAAAAAATTTATATTAAATTTAACTCTTTACAGTTTAATGTTATTAGTTGGACAATAAAATATTTTATCTTTATAAATATTTGTTAATATTATTAGAATTTAATATCGTAGGAAAATTTTTAAATTAATGTTTAATTTTATTTACAGAAAGATATAATATTTTTTAACGTTTCGAAAGAATTTAAAATTATATTTCTATACTAAGGGAACGTCCATAAACTACGTAGACCAATTTTTTGGAAATTTTAACTCCCCCCACGTGGACGAAATTACATGTATTAGCGCCATTTTTTCCTCTTATGGTAGACAATTGCTTGACCCCCCCCCCGCCCCCTAGACGTGCTACGTAGTTTATGAACGTTCCCTAATAAGAATAATTTATTTAATGTTTATTGCTTCATCCTATTGTGAAAATATCAATTTTTTAATTTTTATAGAAAAACAAATTTATAACATATTATTGTATGGAATTTTTTTATATGTTAAGGTTAATACGAATTTTATGTTCAGGAGATTATAAGAAAATAAGAAAATTGAAACACTTAAGTATAATAGAAAAACTAAAAATTTATTATTTAACCATTATTTAAACAATTTAAGGTTTTATTTTTTCAATTGAATGTATTAAGTAAAAACTAGAAATTTTTAGCCATAATTGCACTTTATGAATAAAATGACAATACATTGTTTGAATTATTATTTTATTTTTTATCATCAGTAGATAAGTATTTTCATTATTAGTAGAAGTTTTACTCATGAAAAATTGCATGATTGAGAAAGAAATTGAAATTTCTAGTCTGAATTACAGTCGTATTTTGTTTGTAAAATTGTTATAAACAAATTATGCTGGATAAAGAATGTTTCATCCCAAGCATAAACAAATAGATTTTAAGTAAAACTGACAATTGGATTCATTGTCAAATTCAATAAAATGATATAATCATCACAAAACATTCTTATTTTTTCACGTAGAATCGATTGGCGTTAACAGTTTTTAAAAAATTTAAAATTTTTATTAAATTGTTTAAACAATTGTAAATGGAAGCACTTCAAAAAAGAATTGAATTTTGGGTTAAAAAAATTATAGGTAATTTAATTTAGCTACATTGTTTGTAAAGTTAAATATATATGTATTTTTAGAGTATAATTATTAAAAAGTTGTATCTTTAATAGTTTTGTTAAAAATTATTTTTGAAAAACTGTCCAATTTTTTGACGTTCAGTGTGACGTAACCCCTTAAAGGTAGTCTACAGTTTTATTAATTCAGTAATTCCAAATAGACAGTACCACTTATTAAAGTAAAAGATTATTTTAAGGATGGGTTATTCTGATTCGCGAAATCCTGAAACTTTTTTGTGAGGTTGTGTTATTTCTACAATTAATTATTGTTTTTTACTTTTAAAAATTATTTTTAAATTATTAATAGTTTCTATTTATAAAAATTATCGTTATTCACGGACAATAATATTGTATGCAAATTACATATATTAATATTTAAATGTTCTATAAACATATACAAATTTATTTAACACACTTGAATCTACTGTTGACATAATTGGTAAGGATGATATTAAACATTTATAAGTATATATGACTTAATTAAATATATATATATATTAATACAAATAGTTTAACTTTAATACAACTAATTAAACACTTGAGCATACAGTTTTTCAAGATTACGAAGAATTGAAATATTAATTAAATTGATATATAGGTGGTCAAAGTCCTATGAGAAGTATAAATTTTATAAAAAAGGATGATTTGTGTAAAATCAAAGAGTTTTTTAAATTTGTGCACAAATGTGTTGTGCACTTCGAAATGTCAGCTCAGATCCTCATTATTTTTTTAAAATCTTTAATAAATTTACTTACCTTACAGAAAACCATTTATGTAAAAAAAGAGACATCAATTTGTAAAACTCGAAAGAGTTATCCAACACGACAACATGCCAAAGATACAACACTGGACCAGAACATAAACAACACGCATTCCGTAACTTTTAACAAATGTTAAATACAAATTTAAATAATACTTAAATGATGAAAATTACATGCATTATGTTACGGCCGAACTCCATAACTTTTTACTTTTTAACATACCGAAATCATTTCTTTCAGTGTAGAAATACATATTAACTTATATCTTAAAGGCAACCTATGATTATTTGGTTTGGTCATCATTTGTTTCTTTAATTTAAACACCTAAAATTATCCCATCTTTTTTTGTTTCTTTAAACAAGAATAAAATTCTTAACCTATTAATTGAATTACTAACCAAGTAGAAGGGAAATCCACTACCTTTACAATTTTGAGTTGTCGAGTATAGACAATGTGATTTTGGTTTCGAGTGAAGATCCACGGACAAAGTTCCCTTTAATAAAAGTTTTAAATATTAACTAAGGAGTTTTGAGTAATTTTCTGCATCGATAAATAATTCGAAGATTAAGTAAAGTACATTAAAAGTCGTATTGAGAGATTTGTATTGAAAATATCTTCAATAAGTTAAATAGAATAAAATCTTAAATTAATCCTCTCGTAGTAAACGTTTATGCTCTTTCGGAAACAATGAATATTCAATGAATGAAATAAAAAGGAAAAGGTGGTAACAGTTGTAAGACTGTAATAAAACACTATACAGTAATATAAGTAATACAGTAGGCGTAAATTTATTTAATTCTAAATTCTCGAAAACCAACAGAAAAATCTTACAATCAACAAGATTTTATTATAATTAGTTTATTTATATTTTATTAGTAATTATTATTGCAAAAATCCCTTATATGAAATATAATCGATAAAAAATCCAATTACTTGGATTACAAAAATAAATATTGATAATGCCCAAATATTATTTACCTATAGCATAACAATTAATATTATTTGTATAATTTATTTTAAACGTGTAAACTGTAAAAAAATTATTAATGAACTCACCAACTTTTCATATAAATATTTTAATTATAAACAGAAAAGAATCCTATTACTTTTCGGAGGTGAATCACTCATATTCACACCTGTGATACATTCTTTATAGAAATTCTCTCTTCCTTGTTTCTCATCTTTGTTTATTCTACAATTGCCTTTATTTTATTTATTTTGAGATTACTCTTCTTATTTATTTAATTTAAAATAATATGAAAATTAATTTTAACGTTTAAAAATCGGGGTCACTGAATTTAAACTTTTAATTAATTCTGATACTTTAATAGTAAAAATGAGAGAATATATTAATTATTTTCAAAAATATTTAAATTCGTGCAAATTATGAAAATTCTCAATTCAAAATCGTGTTTCACTAATTATTAAAATTCTATTCTATCAAACGTCATAATTGTAGAGTCATTGATGATCAAGTTTTTCTTAAAATCTTGCACAATTGTTCTTTTCTTTTCCAGAATTGTATAATTAACAATTTTTCTTGTGTATTCACATTAATTTATAATAATTAATCAAAGTAGATACTATTTTTATGTGCTTTAAGTGAGGTCGAATCTAAATTCTTAGCAATCATAGTAAATTGTAAATTTTTTTCATGCAAAATCTTTTGAGTACTTAAATTTGCTGAATTTGTATGTAGTTAAGAATACAAAGTTTAATAATACATTTTTATATAAAAACAAAAAAATGTATCTACGTAATTAAACGTAATTTAAACCTTTAATTAAATCCTAGTAAAGTTAAAAAAAATATAAGTAGTTTACGAGACATAAGTAAAACATTAAAAGATTTCATTGATTAGTTTTCGCGATGCGTCGGTAGAGTTGAAGGTCGCACTAGACCTTGCCTTAACTGCTTCATTTCACTTTTTAAAATAGTTAATGCATCCCTTACAGAAGAAATTGATTTTACGCCACTTAATGACGCTTATCATTTCCACAACAAAAGCAAATGAAGCCAGAGAGTATCCGATAATTAGCAAGTAAGAAACAATCAGTAGTAATTTATCCTTTCCAATTTCTTCTGGTGAGGAAATCTTATGTGCATCTTCATAATCTCTGTACAAAATTTCAGACAGTAAACCGTGTTCTGATGCTTTTAGAATTATTTCGTTGAAGCGATCAAGATAGGGAGATCCATCTTTTGCCAACCAGGTCAACATAAAATATCCCATAGGTTCCTTCATTACTCTGCCGTTAAAATCTGATTCCATCTTGAAATCCATTATAACTCTTTCAGTTGTAATACAAGTTACATTTGCAAATTTAGTTAAAATCTCCAAGCATTTGAAATTTGAATTTACACCAGAAAGATTATCAATTTTTTTGCCCAGTTTTCGAATATAAGAAATAGAACTTGTTAGCAATAATTTTTTTACCAAAGAGGACGCTTCTGGTGTTAGAGATGAGTTAGCAAGTTCCTCTAAATTTGAAATTTGTGGTTCGGCTTTCAAAGAGATGTCCAAGATCACTGAGTAGAAATAACCTGAGTAGACAATGCAGGTCAAAATCAATATACCAAAAACTATTCTTTCCGTCGACTTCTGAGGCTCTCTGGTGACAGGCAGTCCCATTATTATTTGACTGATGCTGAAAGTTTGCCAAGTTGTCCTGTTGAATTTTAAAATCCGAGCCGTGATTCCCATGCTTACAATAGCAAATACAGTTGCCAGTAGCATATAAATGAATTCATTTGTTATTACAATCACGTTAGTGAACTTTATCTTAATTGGAATCACAGCAATTAAAGAATGAAATCCAACAATTCGTATTAGTGGGTTTGCTGTAACATTATTACTTACAATGTTGTGCTGCAAAAGATTTAATATCATTTCGACATTATCTTCAAATAATCTGTTATGACCCAAATTGAATTGTAAAGAGTCAGTCATTAAAGTTTTAACT